GCAATTTGGGCATTTGAAGTCTGAGAAAGAGCACTTGCCGTGGGAAAAAAAGCAGCCATGCCAACTTGTAAGATTAGGACTGCAGGGTCAGGGGAAAGAGGTCTGGAATGGGTAGGATGGCCACTAACTTGAAGCTCCAGCAGTCACCTACTTGCAATAGGGAAATGAAAAAGACAGCAGCAGAAACATGACTTTTTTTTGACAAAGACTTTTATTAATAAACACCTGGAACATTTAAAAGTTACTACAGGCCTTACTTTACATGGAAGTACTGCTTTATCTGTTCTGCCTCATCTTTCCCAACGATCTAAATGTTAGTCCAACACCAGCTGTTGTCTTCTTTGCCATCCTCTCTCCCTACCTCATTTTCCAGCATAGTGGCACGTTTACAACCTTATGTGCAATACCAATGTCATACTAATGAGCACCACTCCATGCACAAGAGTTACTATACTAACACAGCTCTACTGTAGCATAGGTGCTTAGCTAGAGTTCCCCTGGGCCACAGAAAGAGGCTCCTGAGCACTGCTGCTGTATGACTTCAAGTCAGATGCAGGATCACACATTTCTCTCAATAAATAAATTTAATCTAACAGGTTCCAGTGTAGATTTAGATTCTGAAGATAAATAAAAGAAAGTCTTTCAACAGAAGGATTGGCCCTTCACTGAAACAGTAAGATTGAACCATTTAGAAAAGTCATATTTGAAGCAGAGGAGGAAATACTCCCTGGTTAGATGCGTCCTCTTGAGGCAAACACAGAGGGGACAGAGGTAAGAGTCACTGTGTATACATACCTACAGGCTGGATGTGTGTAATGGACACATGCACATTCATCTGGGAAGGTGAGGATACTACTGTGCGATGTAGTCAGCCTCTTATTTCTTCACCTGCTCTTTCTGGAGGGGGGCTTCCTCACACTGTGCTATTCTCCATTCACTTGTAATGAAATCATCATCTCAAGTCGTGAAAAAGAGAAGACAACACTAATGTGATTTTAATTTGTTCATGTGTAAACTGCATTAATTGGACCAGCAAAAGATTTAAGAGAATCTCACTGAGTAGTAAAGCCTCGTTCCCTTTGGTACTTGCACAAGCTAAACATGAAATAAATAAAACTAGCATGCTGTCAGGGCAAGTTGTTTTACAAACACAAGTGTTTTGATTTAAATACTAAAGCCTCCACATTCATTAGAGGATTAAACCTTAAACACAGGGTTAGTGAAAGGGTAAAGCTCATTTGCCTTCTAGTTTTCAAACCCTGACATGGCAAGAACACCATGACGAGAACACAGACTCCTTTCTTCCTCCCTTGGAGGCTCCAGATTCACAAGCACTGAATAGCAAATGTGACTGCAAACAAGTGCCTGAAATAATGTTTAGTCAACAGTATTTCCTCATCCCTCAATAGCTTCCAGCTTCAAAAGTTCTCTCTCAAATAAAATAGTGGTGAGTTAAGACACTGCAATACCAGGTGGCATTCCAACACATTACAGCAGTCTGTCAGGGTCTTGATTAAAACTAAAGTCACACACCAGAGATAGGTGATCAGAAGGGTAATTGAATGATGGCAGCCGGTTGGGCCCTATTTGCTCTTCAGTCAGCAAGCCCAGGGCTGAGTTCACAATCCAGGCATGCTGGGAATACCAGATATAATCCAGCGTGTGCCGGCACTCTCCCGATGGCCGGATCTTCCAGGTGGTGTAAGGGGGCTCTGACTGCCCGTCGGGGCTCAGCAGCTTGTAGGCGCTGTTTAGGTTGAGGCTGGAGTTGGAAAACTCTTTGTAGACCTCCTCAGTTGGCTCCGCATTGAAGTCTCCGCAGACAATCAGAGGGATCTTTGCACCCTGGGTGATGCTCTTCAGGTTCTGGAGAAGATCGCAGCCCTGCGCAGACCGAAACCTCTCCCAACCCGTACGGGCTTTGAGGTGAGTGACGGCAATGCAGAACAGTCTTCCAGTTTCGCTGCACTTCAGCGTCTGCGCTATGGCCACTTGGTTGGTCTTCAGCTTCATGGCTGTTAGCCGGATGTTCGCACTGCTGATGAGCTCAAAGCGGTCTTTGATGAAGAACAAGGCGCAGCCATCCGGCCCGTTGTTCTGCTCCACATCCAGGCACGGGGACCATGGCTTTGGGAAGAAAGTACACTGGTAGCCCAGTCGGCTGAGGAGCGGCTCAAAGGTGTCAAAGTAGTGGTCAACTTCTTGCAGGCACAAGATGTCTGGTTTGTACGCAAGGATTTCCTCCAGGATGAGGCACTTCCTCTCTTCCCATTTCAGAGCTTCCATGGGGCACTGAACAAAGTTGTCTTTGCCTTCACCAAGAGCTGAAATGAGCACGGAGAGGGAGAGAAAATAAACAGTTACCAATAGCTAAAATGGGCCATGTTCCTGCAGGTTTTGCAGAGGTAAGGCTCTGCTCCCAGGAGCCAGCTCCCACCCTGCAGCAGGCAGTAAGCGCTTGCAGCCCTGCACAAGACCAGGCAGTCTGTCATGGTGCAAGAGGTTATAAAGGGAAGTGGCACAAGGCTTTGCTTTCTCTGTAAAACACACGTACATCCCTCTCCATGCAGGTGATGGGTCTTTCAGGAGGAGCTGCCGACTTTAAGGGTGCCAGTGGGTTTGAGAACCCCTTCTCAAAACACTGAAGTCCCTCCAAAACGTAAGTTCCCTTTACAGATACAAGTTAAAGACTTCCTCCCTGCCTTCCCAACAGTCACTACACTGCGGCAAGTGCTTCCACATAACAGCTGCTGCAGCTTAAAACTAGGGAAAAAACGCAGTGGGATAGGAGTGACTTAACAGCTAAGTAAAACATTAAGGCAGTCTCTACATGGGGGATTAACCACCCCAAAAGATCTTAAGATGAGACTGTTGCATAAGTCAATTTACAGCTTTGATTTTAGGAGTCTGAGGGGTAAAAAAAAAAAATTAGTTAAAATTATTTTGAAGAATTAAGAATTCCCATAACAGATCTGAATCCCTGAATAGTTCTCCAAAAATGAACTAGAACACTACAGAGAAGCTTTACAAAGAATAAAACTTAGGGAAGGATGAGTTTTTTTCTGGGGATTACCAACTATCTAAAAATGATGGGTCATAGGTTTTTGACTATACTGTGTTAGATTAAGACAGGCATTCAGAGCTACCTTTGGTATCACAGTTGCAAGGAGAGACCTCTTCTTCCTATAGGACGGAAGGCAAGCCGCTATTCCAAGTGCTGAAAATCCCCCTCCAACCCTCAGCCTCTGTTTTTGCTCTGGCAGTCCCAGTCATGCCTAACCACACAGACACATCTGCATTCCCAAGACTTTCATTGCTGCTTTTGGTTTCAAGGTCACACCTTGAGCTTAGAGGCAGCTCCTACCTTGGGCAAGGATGTTCCACTGCATGACCCGAATGGGGCGGTGGTTACTGGCAGCATTCTTCTTCAGGTCCACAAAGTTCCTCTGAAAGCGGGGTGGCCGCTTCTGCAGAACCATCTGACATTCCTCCAGCAGGTCCTTGGGGTCTATAGGATCCAGACGTGCCGAGTCCGGCTGCTCCAGGCAGTCCTGGTGCTGGGACACAGCGCTGCTGCTCAGCGTCTTGGTGAGTGCGCTGTAGAGCTGGCTGGTACTGTTTCCCATGGAACACACTGGAAGGGGAAAAAATGGTGTTAGAGATGCCCGCTGTGACTCTTCTCACCACTTAGGTACCCGGTAGATAACCTTGTTACAGTGCCAGCAATTTGTGGTTGGTGCGGGAGCCCAAATCTGACATAAAATAAGAAGGATGCAGAGATTAAGTTAATTCTGTCCAGAGTCTCATTGGGTTTTGCTTATTACCAGGGGCTGCTAACTTCTGCAGCTTGCAAATGGTCTGGTTTAAGACATCATGCAGGTGTCTTCTAAAGGAAGGAGTCTTTCATCCAGAACAGCAGGGCTAAGATTCACTTCTGCATGTGCTGTAGGAAGCAGAATAGTGTACTTTTTTCCTCCTCCCAAAGGAGAGAGCCCAGCAGGTAGAGAAATACTGCCTGCTCCTTATTTCATGTGCAGCATGTCTGTAATGGGGATAAATCCCTGTACCCTGTGCCTATCTGGGATGCCTCTTGGCTTCCTTCCTGCAGAGCAGCAAGCATGGTGACGCATTCCCTCAGGTTAATATTTAATAGGAATCTCTGATCACAGCTTCACTTACCCCAAAAGCAGCAACATTTCAATGAGCACAGAGTGGCCAGATACTTCTGCTGGCGTAGACCTTGGGATGTGGAATGAAGGGGCTCTCACCAGCTCCCCTTTGCTGCCCTACACTCATTCCTCTCACACTCCTTTCTTTGGCTCCTCACTCCTTCACACTGTGCCCCAGCTCTGCAGCTTCCAGCACACCTTGCAGTCCTGCAGCACTCCCCAGCCCTCCTTTGTCCATCTTAAGCACATGTCCTGCAAACAAGCAGCTGTTCCTCAGCTCTCTCTGTTAATGCAGCTAGACCCTGACCCCGCATCTCCTGCGGGGAGGTCCCCCCATCCCACACAGGGTCACAGCTGCCACGGGGCCTGTGTCCCACTCTTGTTTTGCCCTTTGGTTTATGCGCAGGAGGTGGCTGCATCCCTTTTCCTTTAGCAGGGGTCAGCAGCAGAGCCATCCCTTTCAGGCAGCAGCCCTTATGACTACTATGCTATGAAGTACCTCCTTCTCCCACTTTGCAAGAGCACAAGCAGCAGAGCACAGTGCCACAGTAAATGCCCTGGGGCTTGCTTACTGCAAGCACACAAGAGACTATTAGTGTTAAGGGCACAGGTGGCTGTGGAGCAATTCAGAGAGTTCACGACATCCTTACACATACCTGCCGTAAGTCCTTCCCACAGCCAAGCACACTCCAAGATCTCTTCCAACCCTTCCTTTGGGGGAGGGTTTTGCTCTGAAGTGCCACCCTTACCACAGCGTATGGGGAGCACTTGGAAGGAGGAGCACTTGCCTGCTCCTTTCCATGCCCAGTGCTGTGCCCCAGTAACCTGCCTGGACACTTGGTTTCCCTTCAAACACAGGCAGGAAAAGCAGCACTTGCACAAGAGGCACCACTGACAGAACTTCATCGCTGTCTCAACTTATTTACTGTGAATGCATTTTGCAAAAGTAATCTTGAGCAAATGAAGTTCAGTGTTGCATGGCTGTTGCCCCACAGCAGTGTTTAAGTAAGTTTATTTGTACCTTTCAGTTACTTAGAAGCAGAAGAGGCTTGTCATCTCACGGCAAATGTAGAGTGCTACTCAACACACTTTCATGTTCAGCCTTTGCTAGCCTGAACTACAGCATTACCAATCATAAGAGCTGGTGACAGACATATGATAGCAACAGACCTGGCTAGAAGGGAAGGCGGGAAGATGGAATCCTTGACAGTTCAATAAGCATACTTAGGAGTGAAAGAGAAAAGAAAGATCTTGCAGCAGAAGCTGCACATCCTTGTCTTTAGGAAAATGGGTACTTCTAAAAACACTGAAAAAATACTTGCTTTAATGCATGTTTTGTATGTGTAAGCCACTGGAATAGTGCCTCTTAGCAGTTCTAAGGAAGTTGGAAATTGGGAATTGAAACTGCATGTAGGACATATCATCTCCCCATCTCCATCCTTTTAAAGTACCGGAAGTTCCTCACGCCAAGATGTGAGCTTGGGCTGACAAGCATGAATGTCCTTCTTGGGGAACTGTGTTTAAAACATTTCAGTTTCTGCAGTCTTTCTTAGTTTACAATTCTTGTCAAGAAGCCAAGTACTGCTGAAGTAGAAGGAATGCCATTTAATAGTGAGGGAAAATGAAATCCCTAAGCAGGACCCTGATAGGCTGTGAGGGGATGGGGAGCAGGAACAAAAGCATGCTCTGTGCTGGTTACAGAAGGGTCCAGCTCACATGCTACTAGAGCTGCCAGGCAGCCATGCAGAAACCCAAAGAAATCAATGGAGCTTTTAATGAAAGCTCCATAGGGAGCTTCTTGCCTATTTTTGGGGTAGGTACAAGCCACAGCGAAGTGCTGCAGCTGGAAAGCAGTACATGGTGCTTTATGCTACCTCAGGCATGCTGTCAGCAGCTAAGTACAGCCAGGAACCATACACCCTGTGCAGCTCTACCCCCAAATGCACACCCCTGCCCTTTCCACTGCCTGGCTAGTGCTGTGCCAGGAGGAAAACCCACATGAGGGCAGCGTCTTCTGCACAACCCCTGCCATACCATGGATGAACATGGCTCATGCAGAGCCCTCCAAAGGAATAATGGGGAGTTATTCTGCTGCAAAAAGCCATTAGCAAGAGCTTTAGCTGTTCACTGCTTAGCCTGAATCAGAGGGAGAATGTTGAACGGGGACAAGCTAGGTGCAATACACCTGGAGCCCAAAGTCCACCCTAAAGCCCTGAGCAGCCTACAGCTATTACAGGAGGATGAAGTCTAAGTTCAGTCATGCACTTGCCAAGCTGCAAATAAAGCTGGAGTACTGTCTAAATCTCATCATCCCTGTGGTATCCAGCTCTTTATGGAGAGTCAGGCATAACCTAACCCGCATGGGATGTGCTGTGGCCCAGCTGCAGCACAGATCTGACAGCCTTTAAAGTCAGTCATGTCTCTGGAAGGAAAAGGAACTTCTGTCTTCTTCTGAGAGCCCAGGGAGGGTGGGTAAAAGTGGCCCAATGGGCCATAAATGGAACACTTTCAGGCCAGTTGTAGGGGGCTTGGGAGTCCTTGGCTGAAGGGGGACGCCTGTGGGAAGACTCCAGCTTAAGATGAAGTCCTTCGTCGCCAAAGCGCTGAAACCATCACAGCACTGGCTGAACTATTCTGCAGAACAGGGCCCAGACCAGCAACCTGAACATTGAAACTCCAAACACAAAATCCATTTGCTGCTTTTGCAATGCTTAACACGTCCACAGCAGTGAGGCAAGTACAAGGTCACCACTGAGATCCTTACAGCTCAAGTTAAATGACCTGTAACTTGCTGGGACAGTGCTGCCAGCGCTGTGACACCATTGTACTGGTGTACACAGAGGAACAAGCGGACTCCTGAGCTTGCACTTTAGCAGTGGGTGGTGAACATGGAAGCAATTCTCTTGGTTCAATGTTGTAATGGGAAACACCAGCTCAGCAATTACTATTCAAGGTGCTTAAAATAAAAAGGTCTACCTCTCAGCAAGGGTGGTGCCACATCGCAGTAAGGAGGCAGGGGAAGAATCTAAACCAGAACAGGGTGCAAAGCTCAAGGTTTGTGCCATACAGCAATAATAGCACAGAAGAGATGAACTTCTAGGATCTCAGGCACGGAGCAGGCATGGACTTTACAGACTTTGCTTCAACGATGAGGGTTGCAATGCTCAGGTAGACCAGGGAGCTGCAGAGGGGTATGACAGCCATGACCCTTACCTTCTGGGTAAGGTGAACAGCATTCTGGTATCCCTTCCTTTCATCTCCCAGCACCTCTCTCGGGCAAGAGCCCCCACCTTGTTCATCACAGATATTTCACTGCTCACTGAATGGCTCCTCCACACCTGCAGCCTGGTCTGTAGTTGCATCAGCCTCCACCACCGAGGTGGCTGGAGATGCCCTCACTGCAACCCCAGTTCCAAGGAGAAACTTGGCAGATGCCATCCCCATGTGACACATCCTGTGCTACAGGGTATCATGCTACACGTACAGCCTTGTTTGGGCCAGCGATGGAATTGCAGTCCTGGGCCACCCACATTCAAAGCTGCAGTTGCTGCTGCTTAGAGTTCAAGTCCTGATTTTGGCACCTAGGCCAGTGTTATGCACAGTGGAGTGGGGAGCTCATCACAGCAAGGGAGGTGCTGCCTAGTCAACAGGCGACACCAGAAAGAGGAGTAGGGAACCTCAAATCCTGCCCCAAGTAACGCACAGAATCAGTACTTGGCACAAGTTCTGGAAATCCTTCTCATGAGGGCTCTAATGGCGAGCTCCACTCTGCCAGCTTGCAGGAACACATGCTCCTCTGCTGTGCAGCTTCAGTCCTGCCATTTGGCATCCTGGCCTGGCTTCGGAAGGAGGAATGGAAGTGCCCTGCCCCAGCCTGGCCTGCAGACCCCTCCTGTAACAGCACCAAGAGGGAAAGACCACAATTCACCCCATTCCCAGCTGAGGATGGCAGGGAAAAGTGAACTTCCTGCCTGCCAGGGAAGTCACACAGGCTCAGATGTTGCACAGAGGGTGTCAGACGTATCCCCTCTTCTGCTGGAGGCCAGCAGACAAAGCAAAGGTGGCCAGTGCCCCAGCTTCCACTGGGATCCTCTAGTCCTGGTCGGTGCTTTCAGCCATGGTCAGAGGCAAGCTGCTCGTCAAGAGACACGGCTGAATGTGAGCAGCAGAAGCCTGGTGGGTGCGTCACCGCTTGCTCCAAGCCTCAGCACAGGTCAGCGAGCACAGGGGAGGGACAGAAGGAGGGAGCGCAGTGCATGCCAAGGTGCTGTCCTCACACAGACTCCAGGCAGAACATGCACCCAAGGACACACGGCACCTTGAACGCTTTCCAGGTCTCATTTTGGGAATGAGGAATGGGACACAATCATTTAACAGCACATGCAAGGAAGAGCCTGATGGTTTAGCATCAGCGCCTTTACCTCCCTGAGGGTAACCTGGGCTTTTCCCACTGTCTCTAGTAGACAAAAAGACCCCCACTGTGATGCAAGTACATCCTACACAAAGT